AAGTGTTTTGGATTCCGCAGAAAAAATTCAGAAAACCCAATACTTGTTAGAAAGTGTAGTAGGCAGCGCGACGTACCGAAATACCGATACGAGAAAGGATCCATCACCTTATTCTCTGTTATGGTAAACTGAGGTTTAATAATCAATAATTGTGTATTTTTATGAAAAATTAGAAAAACCTAAAAATAAATTACAGGTTACTGGACGAGCTAGAACTGGTTAGTGCACGTTTGTCCTGATTCCCACTTTATTTTTATGTTCTACCTCGAATTGTTTACCATTACATTGTGCATGCTTACATTGATAGTTTGTATAGTCTTCTCGATTATCTATGTTAATTGGTTCCTTCTTGCATGGTTTATCTGATTATCTGATTACTCGATTATTGGTTATGATAAGTTTAATTACTTGCTTGAATGTTGTTTTATTGATCTATGAATATAAAAGATATGGGTATTGTGTGGTTGATTATTATGAAAATCTATATGTGAAAGACTTGCTGGGTACCCGAAAAAGGGCAGACAAGTCTGGTACATAGGGAATCCTACCATGAATGTTACCTTAGTCGGATAGGACTAGGAAGTCTCTTACTAGTAAAGTTTGGAAGATATGGTTCATCCTCATACCGGATGGGGTATCGAGGTAGTGGAATGTTTGGCGCTCATTACTGGACAGAGTATGGGGACGACTGGTTAATTGTTAAGTTAGATATTGGGTTCACGAGTAAGAGGACATTCCTATGGACCCTTAAGGGTAACGGTAAGCGGGTAAAAATAAAAAATGATCGTCTCTTATTATTTTATATGTGAAAATAAAAAGTGTATGGATATGGGTCTTCGTAGGTTGTTTTTGAAAAAAATTGTTACGTAAATAAGAAATAAATAGTTTTTTTTACAGTAAATGAATTTATATTAAATTAAGGGCTCCATTGGTTATTTTTATGATTTTTTTGTCAATCTTCAGTTTTTCGTATATGTGATTAATGTGATATTCTTACAGGGCTAGTGTAACTCACCCTTTCATTAATTATTTTATATCAAAAGGATCAAGATCCAGATCCCCATCAACAATAGGGTTGTGAATAGTTCACCACCCAAACTTCCTTTAATTTTGGTTTGTTCTTTTAGAAGAACATTCTCATAACCCTATTACACTTTCTAAATTATTGTGTAAGGATGTAAACCTTAACTCTATTATTCCC